AAACCCCAAACCCCCAAAACCCCAAAACCCCAAAACCCCGTGAAACTATAAATGACTGAAAGTTATGTTATTTTTAAATTTTTGTTGCTAAATATGATTAAAAACGATGAAAATCTCTCAGAAGAAATTCTTAGTGAGAGAGCATCAAAGAAAGCTATCAAGACCACTGAAAACATGAATAAGAAAATGAGAATGTCTGCTTTCAACAAATTCAAATCTGGCCAAACGGTGAGGAACAGTGCTTCTAAGCCCTTGCAATTGACGCTACAGATTAAAAGCTGCAGGGACAAAGAAATATTAGAAGAAAGATCCTTTTGGTTTCGGACTTCCAAGAAGATAAGCAAGATAGATGACTCCTTTGACTCGAGATTAGAAAAACAATGAAGAAGCAGAGAAGGTTCTCTTAGCAATCAAATCAGAGGCCTGCTTCGAGTGACAGCTGAAATCAGAAGAAAGAAGAGTGAGCTTGCTACTTCCCAAATAAATCTATCTGAAATTTTAGTTGACGATATCAAAAGAATTAGCTCTTTCTCAGAAAGCTCTGAAAGTAACAGGCCTGATGAAGAGAGTTTATACACTTTTGGAGAATAATACTCACATCTCCATTAACATTTAATCCTATTCTAAAAATCTTACGGCCAAAATTCCTCCTACCTAAATTTTAACCTCCTCTAAATCTCTACCTTCAATCAACATTCACAACTTTCCTGCTGTTCTGGCAGTTTCTTAGATTTTCATGCATTTAATATTTCTCTAAAAATTCTGACCATCGCTTCTGAATTAATGAATTTGGGTTGAATTTTTACTGGAAAGAAGGAAATATCTGAACGGCTTGGGCGGAGGGTTGATTTGAACGGGGTTTTAGAGAGTAGTCTGTAAATTTATGGGGGTTTTAAGTTAAATTATTTTTAGTGATTTGGTGAATATGGAGGATGGGTGGGAAAGGGATTATGAGGGAAGAAGGAGGGGTTTTGAAGAGGAATGAGGGGAAGATGTTGGAATGAATGTTTTAGGTACTGGAAGGGGTTATTTGGATGGGAAATGTGGGATGTGATGGTTAATTGGGGATGATATGTTAAAATTTTATGAGGGCATGGATTTTTTTGAGTATGAGTTTTTTTTAGGGTTTATTTTTTAAAATCTTAGAATTAATGGAAAAGGAGTACTGGTGTTTTGTATATACTTATACCAGTAATGGTGTTTAAATCGTAATTTTTTTATCCTACTTCATCTCTATTTTTAGAATTTTATCTCAGTATATTAGAATCTAAATTTTTACAAAATTCGGTGAATGCTCTAAACCTTCAAGCCACGCTCTCCCTTGAACAAACACAACACCAAGACAAACCTATCCAACATCCCTTCCCCAACCCCCTCCAGCCCTCCTCTTCCCTCCACCCCACCCCATACCCCTCACTCCCCTAAAATTTCACCTAAAAACCCCACAATTTCAAACGCCCTATCTCAATCTTCCTTCTAAAATCCGGGGTTTTGGGGTTTTGGGGTTTTGGGG